AAAAATTTTTTTTTTTTTTTTTTTTTTTTACATAAATATTTAGAGGCTGATTTTTATAATAGCTTGGAATTTAAATTTAAGAGGATTTTAAAATTTAGAAATTTAATTTAAATTAAATTCAAAAAAGATAAAAATTAATTTTTTTCAAACATAAAAATTATAATAAATACTTTGGGATAAAAAAATTTTAATTTTGGTTTGAAGCCTAAAGTATAAGTTCACAGAAACTTGTTCCTAATCGGAGACGGAAGGGTAAACTGATTGAGGTTCGGCTTCCCTATAAATTACGATTACCCCACCAATTCCCACTTTTATGTATTCTTCAAGCTGATCTCTCTTCTACCTTGCATCTTACGTGAAGTAGACCAGCGATTTCCAGTTTTAAGGTTAGCAATTTCCCTTCTATCCTGTGATTTGTACTCTCTGATTGGATCGTGGAATTGAATTTTGTTTTCTTCGTCGATTTCTCTCTTTTTTCTGGGTAATTTGGATAGAATCTGTGTAGGGTTTGGTTTCGTTTGCCAACTGTTTCGTGCGATATTGGTTGCTGAGCGAAAATCATTGCATGAGGTGTTGGAAAATGTTGCGAATTTGTATTTGTTTAATATTCTGCTCCTTTTTTTCCCTGTTGAAGAGGGAAAGCCTTCGTTCGCAAGCATAAAATCTGTTCGTACTATTAGGTTGGCTTAATTTTTCCCCTTCGTGATTCGGACTTTACTTCTCTACCCGTTTGGGCAAGGTTTATTAATTGTCTGAAGGAATATTGGGATTTTTTTGCCTGCGGTATGATGTGTTTGATGCAATTGAGTACTTGATACTGTCATTTGCATAGATTACGACCTTGCTGCTATGGATAATTAAAGATATTAGTTCTTGGTTCTTCGATTGATCAATCCTGCAAGCAAGGAATTTACGGAGAATCCGCTGCCTTTGTTAGTTTTGGCTCAATTTGTACAGATCGCTAATATGGAAACTTCCCAAACAATAGGGATTTTCCTAGCTGGAAAACCTTTAACTATGACCTAGGAATTTAAATAATCACAGAAAGAAAAGTCCCAACAGGCAACAGTGACAGTTAACTGAGCTCAATTACAAATTGAACGGGGATAGAATAACAGGAAGGGTAACCTCATATCGTGTTTTAATTAGTATTTGTGAATTTTCGCATGTTTCCTTCTTACATGTCGAGAATGAATTTGAATTAACTATATCCATTTAAAATTTTTGTAGGCTACTGCTGCAGTTTGTGAGTGCTACTGCTTTGATTCTTCTCAGACAACCGTTGGAGATGAGTCAGAAAGGCCTAATATACAGCTTTGTTGCTAAAGGAACTGTTGTTTTAGCAGAACACACATCATTCTCAGGGAATTTTAGTACCATTGCTGTTCAATGCTTACAGAGATTGCCTTCTAACGGCAGCAAATGCACATACTCATGTGATGGATATACATTCAACTTTCTTCTTGACAGTGGATTTGGTATTGTGTTTTCTCAAGTTTGATAATATACTTGTTTAGATTTCACCAACATTTGTGGCTGAAGGTGTTTGATTGATTTGCAGTCTTTCTCGCTGTTGCGGATGAATCAGTTGGAAGGAATATGCCATTTGTATTTCTGGAGCGTGTGAAAGATGACTTTAAACAGCGTTATGGATCAAGTATCAAGGAAGAGGACCCTCACCCACTTGCAGATGATGAGGACGATGATGATCTATTTCTTGACCGATTCAGTGTTGCATACACTCTTGACAGAGAATTCGGGTATGCCCATCATGAACAATATCTTAGTTATATGTCATATGTTTTACCTTACAACCTATAATTTTCATGGCAGGCCAAGGCTTAAGGAGCACATGCAATATTGCATGAATCATCCAGAAGAAATGAGTAAACTTTCCAAGCTGAAGGCTCAAATAACAGAGGTGAAAGGAGTTATGATGGATAACATTGAAAAGGTTAGACTTCTTGTTTTATGAAATCTTGCAATATCTGCTCAAGATTTTCTGTTTAGATTTTGAAAGAGTATATATGCTCCTTTTTTTCACTGTTGTGCATAATGTATAAACACAGAGACGTAGATTAAAAGAACATTTTAGAAATTTTACTCTGCTTCCTTTAATCCTTTCTCCTGCTCATTGCGCCTGTTACATGCAGCATCCTGTTAGGCAGATCAGTCAAGTAGTATATTAGCCATTAGATTTTCTGTAATTATGTTGCTATGAAATTGATAAAAAAAAAAAAAAAAAAAACAATTACACAGTGTTGCTTGATTTTCAGCTGCACCAGTTGAATAACAATTGTTTGCAAGGAACTTGGTAGTGATCAGTTTTGGAAAATGTGAAATGGAATTGGTCAAATATCACATACACACTTTCTTTTTCCCACTTTTTCTTCCCTTCCTTGCTTCTCAATACAGCCATTGGAAATGATTGTGGTGATTTTGATCATTAAAGTATCTCTTTGGTCTTTTGTCTTGGAAACAATAATGTGTCAATTTGATAGGATTTTACATTATGTTGTTATTGATTTTCTTATTTAGCTTGCATGTTTCTGAATACATACAAAACATCAACTGTGTGATATCCTATGTACTGTTTAATTTACATGTATGTATTAGAAGCCACAAGTCAAATCTTAACCTTGGCGAGAAATTTGGTGGCATATCCTTGAGCGGGTAATGAAAGGAATGGACTATCTATCCACTTTTGACAACAAAAGTGATCATTTGATAACTGACATGGGGATTGGGGAAAAAATGCTTGCTTCTCTATACGATGTTCTCTGTGGATATTAAGTTGAAAATGAAAGCTTATACTTTGTGGTGCTACTTGTACGAAGCTAAGTTATGCTAAACGTTTTTAAGATGAGACTCCGTATTTGGATGAGACTGTTGACAATTTAGTATTATTATTATTAATTCTTTACCGAGTTCTCTCGGTCTCTTGATAACAGGTTCTATAACTACCCTCTTACTGTGAGATAGGGTTTTCCAAGTCCTTTTTAATCTTGGGTTGGGTAGTGCCCCTATGAGATCCCACGTCTTCTTTATAAGGGTATGGAAACCTCTCCTTAACATATGTGTTTTAAAAATCTTGAGGGAAAGCCTGAAGGGGAAAATCCAAAGAGGACAATATTTTCTAGCGGTAGGTTTGAGCTGTTGCAGACCCGTTATTCATGGTATACTTCTCTACATTTTAAGTAGTCCGAAATTGGTAAATCAGTACATTGGTCTTTCTGGATAGTATTAATTTTTTTTTTTTTTTTTTTATGTGTGATCTTATCTTTTTAGTTTTTACCTCATGAACTAATTAGTGGTTAGTTAGCTAGATTGAATTATCATATAAGTACACCAGGCCATATTTTTTTGTACACTTTGAGTATGACAACAACATCCTTTCATATTTGTTTCCTATAATAAAAAGGGGAGAGATGCTTACAAGTTCCTTTTGCAAAGAAACTGAAAATGAGGAGATTTCTTCTACTCAGCTGCACAGATATGATATCGATTTCCTTCTCCTCGTGCAGGTTTTAGATCGTGGAGAACGGATCGAGCTTCTGGTGGACAAAACAGAAAACCTACAATTCCAGGTACATCATATAACCCAGACTGTCACTTAAGAATCTTGAATGAGAAGTTGAAGATTTAACGTCGGGATCTCTGTTTAAATTTAGGCCGATAACTTTCACCGACAAGGGAGGCAACTTCGGCGAAAAATGTGGCTGCAGAGTTTACAAATGAAGCTGATGGTTGGGGGAGGAATCTTGGTGCTGTTCATCATACTTTGGTTTGTTGTATGTGGTGGTTTCAAATGTTGATTTTGGTAAAGTTAGTAGCATATGAGTGTTTTCTTAAACTTGGCTATGTATGCAAACTGTTACCAAGTCTATGTAATATATGCCTTGCCTGCCCCTCTTGTTCAGCTTTTAATTGCATCGAGAAAAGTCATCTTTTTCTCAACAATGTCTTGTCATTTGATCCAATAGTGTTCCATTACATATAAATAGATTTGATAAATAGTGATAACTCTCGGATAGAGTATTAGAACAGAAAAATCCATTAGATAATAAATTTTTTGATTCTAAGCTATCTCGGGTGATGAATCAACAATTCGAAGTGCTTTTCTTGCATATTCTTGGTAAACATAAGAAGATTTGTTTGGGAGGTAAGCAGCTCCTTTGACATCTGTTTATCTGTCTGTAAAGAATTCTCTACATTCTCGGTGCGAAAACACAGACAAAAGGCTAATATTTGAATAGGAAAACGAGTGGATTTGCAGTATCTCAAATGATCTGCTTGCCTCGAAATGACCTAGAACATTGTGTTTGTTTTCTCATAATATTTCATATTTTTTTAAAAAAATATATTTGAATTCTTATTCAAATTTCACAACCAAAATCTAGTTTTATTATTTGATTTATTTATTAGTTTATAAAATTGTATTTATTGGTTTAATTTTTAAAAAATTATTAGCTTCGATATAAAATAAATAAATTGAATTTATTGTGTTGAATGCATTTATAGAATTAAAAAAAAAAATTAATTTTACTTTTTTTCAAAATAATGGATATTGATAACACGACAGCTGGCATCCTTTGATTGATGTGTTCACACCAAACCCAATTGCAAATTAAGACATTAACGGCTAGTGCATGTTTTTTCAAATAAAAAAACAGTAAGAATTATCCAATTGTTTTCATATTGATTTTTCTTGAATTTTGAATATCTTTAAGCTTATTGCTTCAATATTATCCGACACTCTTTAAATGATTTCGATAAAGAAATCAATCATCAATGTTTTAAAATAATATATTTTGATTCAAATGATGTCGGGATTAAATCCCTTTTTATTTCAAAGTTGCACGTTTTATTTGAAGGAATTTTATGTTGGGCGACCTTCTAGAAACAATATGCTAAAACAATCTATATTTGTACGGGGATAGAAGCAACATGACCATGTGTTGGGCCATTAGATGCATCATGCATAGACAGACAAAATGACAACATAGAAATGACGTCCAACCGGCCACGTGAGAGCCAAGACAAGACAAGTGCCATGATGTGACCAAGTAAGACAGAGCATCATTCAGCACGCTAAGAAAAGTGTGCATTCAAGCCAAATTGAGGCAAAAGCAAGACAGAGACGATGACGTTGACATGAGTGTCAAAGACAAACTCAAAGAGGGGTGAGTAAGACCCTAAGCCTTAACCTCAGAAGTTGGGGCTCTGGTATGAGTTTGGGCATGCTATTTTGGAGTTTAGTCCGCCAATATGAAATATGATTGCTTGCCAAATTTGATATAGATTAGACACCTGACCGAGCTCCACGAGGCCGTATGACCATTCGTCAAAATGATGTCTACTTATGCCATACCAAAAATGTCTTAGAATGTATAGGGGGAAACATCTCTCCACGACCCTAGGCTATCTGATCTTAGTGACCTACCCTGTGGCACATACATGTGTCATAGTGCAGGCTAGCGTTATCCCTGACTTGAGATGACATCATCATATGGAGACCATGTTCTTGGAAACAAAATGACGAGACAAGATGCGACATTGCATATGAAAAATCTTAGCCTAGAGTAGAAGCAAGTTGGCTAGAGTGCAGATGATTGAACATGTACGTACAAGCAGCGTGTGTGGCCGAACAAGCTTAGATTCCGCATGAGTTGTGCTCGCTTAGTGAAGAAACTTTGCCTAAGGTTCGATGAAACCACAAAGCGGGACACAAAATGTGAATGAGGCTTGAATTTCCTTTAAGGCTTGTTACGAGCGTGTTAAGATCATGATGCTACACGATCGAAAAAGTATGTATCTAACAACGAGCACCACACCCGTGTGCAATGTTTCTTGTTTTGTTTGCTACATTTTTTCGTTCCAAATACAGATTCCATTAGATAATTTATTAGAAAAAATATAATGTAATATTCAAAGTAATTTTAAAAAAATTAAATTTTCAATATTATACATAATTTCTACATTTCTGCAGGTTAATAAATATTAACTTAGGACAATAAATAAATATAGTATCTATAATTAAATTATGTTGTAATTAAAAAAAAATCGAAATATGAAGATATTCAAATAAATAGAGATCCATAAATGTCGTTATCCACTAATTTTGGAGGAAAAAAAAGAATAAAAAAAGGAAAGAAAGGAATCAAAAGAATAAAGACAGAGAAGAAAGGAGCGTGGGGCGTCCAGTTCACCAAAGCAATAACCAAACTTCCTTTATTTTATGAATTCTCTCTTCCATTCTTCCCTCAACCGATTTCCCTTTCGTTTCAAGCAACCTCCGCCGCCGCCATCGCCGCCACTGGGCACCTTTGCAGCCCTGCTCTACCCCTTCCTCCGGCCACCTGGTTTCTCCTCTACTACTACTACTTCTTCTTCTATTACTTTTTAGCTTCTCATTGTTCCATTGCTTTTCCTTTTGATTTATTCTTCTTGCTGCTTTATATCAGTTTGATCTACTTTCCTTATTCGCGCGTTGATTTTTTTCTCAACCGACGCATTTTCTTTTGTTTTTCACCAAACGCTTTGTTAACCACCGGGAATTGTTCATTCTGCTCTGTTTTTGACATTTTTCGGAACTAGGATTTGTGACGGTGTTTTGCAATGGGGAATAATTGCCTTGGGAGTAAGACGAAATCGACGGCGGAGATTGTGCCTCAGGAGTTCATTAGAGGCTGTAGCGATTCCACGGCTTCGAATTCGGTCGTACGGCTTTATGGCCCTCCGAATAATGCTCTTACCTGCTACATCCGATTTGCTTTGCTTTACAAGTCTGTGAAACACAGTTTTATACCTTCCGAGACGACGCATTTCGGCTCTGATTCGCCGGCTATTCGGATCGGGACCGAGACCGTTTCCGGTTCACGCGATAGGTTGCTTCGGTACATAGACAATAAGTTTCCTCACCCGCCGCTGGCAATATCGAGCCGCCGCGTCGACGATGACGAAACGACGCAGTTGGTTGCGTTGACTGTGGTGTCGCTGCAGCATAAGAGCGTGTTGTGGCATTTGGAGAGGATGTTGAGATGGGCGAAGGATCTGGCGGCGCGTGGAGGGAGAACAGCCGTTGATCCGACGATGGGAACACCGAGGATGGAGCTAAGGAAATTCGGGAAGAGCTACTCTCAGCTGCTGGAAGTGATGCTGGAGCACGCTCAAATGGAGGAGAGAGTCCTCTTCCCGATCTTGGAAATGGCCGATCGAGGTAAGTCCCATGACTCTTATTCTGCTTTACATTGCATCGATTAGAATTTGAGTTTATGCAATGCAAGCCCTAAAAATTGTCGCATCATGAAAGAAAATCATTGATAATTTGCAATAGAATTGATGTAATTGCAAAAACGTTGTTGATCATAGAAAAGTCTGTTTTAGATTTGTCAAACTGGGCAAGAAATTTGAGATGATCAGTGAGAATTAGGTGATGAACTTCATAACTTTCTTGATTGTTCTTATCTTTTCAATTTGGGGGGAAATAAAGAGGTTGTTTGGCATCTTTTACCTTGTTCTATGGAACTTTTTTTGAAGACTGATCCTATCATCTATGGAATTGTACAACTGTTCACATGTTTAAAGGAAAAACTGTTTCTGTTATTAAAAAAAAAAAAAAAACAATCCACATGAGAGGAAACTACTCAGCTAGAAGACATCCTGTACTCAAAAAAAAAAAAAAAGACAACCACAAATGATTGTTAATTAAATATGTTTTTATGGATTTTGGGTATTATAAAGTTTAAACTTTCTTTTATTCCATAATTTTGACATTTATTTGGTTTTAGCTTTCGACTTTTCAAATGTATGTTTTAGTATTGTTTTAGTCCATAAACTACATAAAATTATATATTTGAAAATTTATTGTTAATTTTCTATCATTTTTTTAATTTCTTTTTTTTTTTTTTTTTTTTTTTCTTTTTTTTTTTTTTAAATTAGGGCAAAGACTAAAATATCTAAATAGAAATTTCAGCAATTAAAATAAATAAAAAGAATAAATACAAAAGATGCTTTAAACGGAATAATGAATTTCTTTCAAATAGTCTTTTAGGTGGTCTTATTATCTTTCACAAAAACTTCACCACTTCTTAAAAGAATAGCTATAGCTATATATATGGAGAGAGAGATTGAAATTAGGGTGAAGAACACAATTTCAAAAAATATTTGTTTTTCCTTTTTCTTCTTTGATTTAGATCCAAAATGGGTAATTCAAACCTTTTGAAATGGTCAAAAATGCCTTAACTACTAAATTATACTATGTTCATGTTGGCAATTTGGTCTATTCTAAACAAATATTCTCATCATGTTTTTTTTTTCAGTGGGAATTTGAAATTTATTCAAACAGAGCCCAAATTGATTGAAAGAGTTATATTTTTGTTTTTTCAATGTTACATTTGTGAGTAGATGAATGAACAACTTGTTACTATATCCAATAATGCAGGATTATGCAAAACTTCAAACGAAGAGCATGCAAGGGATCTACCCATCATGAATGGCATCAAAGAAGACATTAAGTCCACTGTCGTTTTAGACGTGGGAAGTTCAGTTTGTCAAGAAGCGCTTTCCAACCTTTCCAAACGGCTCAAGTTATTGCAGGTAACTACATTCAAACCTTCTATAATCCTAACCTGTTCATAAGTCCACGGGGATTGAAATTCTGATGCAGATCAGTTTGTAAGACCTCATGCTTAAGATTCAAGGGAAAATATATAGACCATAGAGAAAAATCAGATGAATGAATGATAATGGATTGAGTGATAAACACTAGACAATTTTCCAGTTGAGTCCCGAAAGGGGTGGACACGAGGCGGTGTGCAGGACTCTGGGCTTCTAAGGGAGGTGGATTGTTCACATCGATTGAAGAGAGGAACGAATGAGAGTGAGGATGCTGGGTCCCAAAAGGGGTTGTGAGATCCCACATCGATTGAGGAGGAGAACGAAACATTCTTTATAAGGGTGTGGAAATCTAGCCTTAGTAGACGAAATTTAAAAATTTTTGAGAAGTCCTAAAGGGAATGTTCAAATAAGACAATATCTGTAACGGTGGACTTAATTAGTTGCAAATAAATTGTCAACCTCCCTAAGAAGTAATGCTAATCTAATATTTCAAGAGCTAAAAAGAAGTATCACTAATTTCTTCTCAAAAAGTGATGTGATAAAGCTCTGAACGAACGATTCCAGAAAAAAGGATCGAGTGGTTCCTTCCAGTTTCTATGACCCAACTGACAAAAACTAGTCGGGTTAGGGTGGTTGGCTGAGATTCAAATTTCTTCCCTCTATTTATATCGTTGTCAAAAGCATTTATTTACTCTACTGACATTTGGACCGACCCTACCGAGTTAGGTTGAAACATAGCACCCTCATTACGACTTTATTTCAAGCTGATAGGGTGGCACAGTAGGAAATAAAGATATCCAACTAAACCATGTGAACTGCAGAGCATTAAGGATAGCTCTGTACCACGACACCTTGACCACACTATGAGACTAGCTGTTAGCAATACTATAACCCTTTGCTGAAGTTCTTAAATTCAGGATAACTGAGCTACATTACTCTTAACATTGTCGAGAATGTAATAAATTTGCGGGCCCATTTGATAATCATCTGATTTTTTTGAAACTATGCTTTGTTTTTTCACAGAACTACTTATTTTAGTGACTTTGGATTTGAAAATATTTGTTGAAAATAGATAACAAAACAAAAAACGAAAATCGAAAATGAAATCTTTATGAAATATCCCTAGGCTCTTGAACATAGTGATGATTTAGTGCACTGCAATAGCTAAGCCACTTCCACTTCATTGATTGATATGTTCAACTACCTTTGTATCTCATCATTGCCCAATATTGAATATATGTAGACCTTTAGATCCATTTAGTTAGTCTATAGTAAAATATAACGTGGAATCCACTTTACTTTTAGAATCAAAATGAAGCGCCAAATTTTTGACGCTCAGTAGTTTTCTTGACTATGATGATCATAATCATTTATATGTATTTCACACTTCACAGTCATTTTCTTTATTGCACTCTAAGATTGTCTGTTCATCAATGGCAATAATGGGAAGCTGATTTCTTTTTCCTTACATTTTTTTTTTTCTTTTTGCTCTATCTCTTTACTTTTTTGGGGCAGGAACACTGTAAACATCACTTCATGGAAGAAGAGAAAAATCTGCTGCCTTGGTTTGAGGCCGTAGAGCTGAACAAAGAACAGCAGGACAAAACATTAGAGCAGCTCTTGGATGTGATGAAACAAACACATTCACATTTACTAAATTTCTTTCTTGAAGGTCTTCTCCCTCTGGAAGCTCTGCAGTATTTGGATTTGATTACGAGCAGCAGCGACAAAATCCGAACGAGCTTGGGCACTATGCTCCTGATGAATGTTGAGTAAGATCAAAAATGTGTATAGTTTTTTTTTTTCTTTTTCTTTTCTAGATTGGATTGGCAACATCCTTTTGTCAACATGTCATAATGGGTGTGTTCTTTGTTTGGCATCTTGTTTTAGTTTGTTGGAGATGGAAGTATAGTCATTTATTGCATATTTTTTAGCATAGTGATTGGCCCTCATAGTAGTGTGTGCCACACAAATGAAAAAAGAAAAGAAGATAAGTAATGTTTGTGATTGTAGACCTTGAGACTCATATTTAGACCATTGATGTCTTTTTGTTTACATATTTACGTACTATGTAGATGTTTGACGTCCACGTTTGGATTCTTTAATCTTGAAAATGTTTAACTCGAGGTTAAGCTAGAGTTTTAGTGTGGGATCCTACATTAGTCGAAGAGGATAACGAGACATTTTTTATAAATGTGTGAAAACTTCCCCTAGCATCTTTTAGGAGAAGCGTGGGAGGGATAGTCTAAAGAAACAATATCAACTAGAGGTGGGATTAGCTTGTGTTAGCCTGTGTTACATTACATTTAGGAAGCTCGAGTTTGGAGAGGATGTTTAGAAAATCTAGGTCTATTAGACGTTTTCGTTTGTTCGAAGCTGTTAGAAATATTGAATTTGTGAAGTTTTTCATGGTATTTAATTTATTTTAAAATTTTCATTTTTGTACTCTTAATATAGTTTAGTTAAAAGATAAATTACTTTTTTATTTATTTATGGTTCAAATATAATTAAATTTAAAGTTAAAATTATTTATTCTATTTTTGTTATTTTTAAATTGACTATTTTAATTATCTAAAAATTAACTAAATTTGAAACAAAATACATTGGTAGGATTTTTTTTTTTTTAATTCTCCAATAATTTTAGACTTTAATTTTACTAATTTAATAAGTATGAACTATCTAATTTGATTCATTTAGAGGTATTGTTTTAATATAAATAAATAAAATAAAATAAAATAAAAAAGGGACCGCTATTCTTAGGCCTTGGGCCAGATCGTAAGCCAACGGCCCATATGCCTTATCAGTCCATTTACAGGCCCATTAAACATATGGGCCAATTCTATTTAGGCCCAAAATATAAGCCCATACACCGTATCCAATTACAGAGTCTATTTGAAGCCCTAGAAAATTTCGTTGGTCCTATATATGCTTTCCCCTCCATTCTATTTTCTTCTTCCCTCCAGCCGAAGCCTCTGCAACTCCTTCGCCCAAAGCCCTGGAAATCAGTTCTCATGGTGAGTTACTGTATACTTTTCGGTGCACTCGTCTTTATTCAAGCGATTCGCGATCTTACGACTTTGGTTTTGTATCTTTGAATTCCAATGTACTTCTTCAACTTATTGTGGTGTGGTTTTTGTTCTTGTTTGAATTGTAGGCGCCTAAGAAGGATAAGGCTCCCCCGCCGTCCTCCAAACCCGCTAAATCTGGTGGAGGAAAGCAGAAGAAGAAGGTATGCTTCTTAGAGTTAATGCTCTCATTTTCCTAAAAAGAAAAAAACAAATTTAATTAATTTAGTTTTGAATACTGTTCGTCTAGCGGTTTATTAATAAAAAAAAATTTCTTAGATTTCGGATTATGGCGATGATTGCTTAGTGCTTGTCTCGAAATTACTCAAGAATATCATGAAACGAAACTTAATCCTTTTTTAATTTCCTCTATCTTACTGCATTGCTTAGATTATTGGCTCATTAGAAAATAGCATATTCGATTATGAGGAAGGGATGATATTAGTCATTAAGTAATGTTAAGACTCAATGCCCTAAAAAAAATACAATGAGATTATTTAACATTGCTGGTGTTCATGCATGAATTGTTTGTCTATGAACTGTGAATCACTCATCACTTGATTTGCAGAAATGGAGCAAGGGCAAGCAAAAGGAGAAGGTGAACAACATGGTTTTGTTTGATCAGGGAACCTATGATAAGCTTCTTTCTGAAGTCCCCAAGTACAAGCTAATCACTCCTTCAATCCTTTCTGATAGGATGAGGGTACGTCTTTCCTTCATTTTATCCATCCATGGCTATGCACTATACTTCAATTTGTTTGTTGTTAAACTGCAATATGTTGGTCAACTGATCCTAACCTGTATCAACATAACCAATCAACGAGCAACCCAACTCAATTCACGAGGTTTGGTTGTTTGTGCTGATAACCAATTTGAAAACCAACCCATAGATTTTTTTTTTTACTTATAAATTTTATGTAGACCCTTTTGGTTCAGTATCTAGAACTGCATTTTTTGTACTGACTTTATGGTTCAAATAATGGCTCCGTTATGTCATCTGCCATATTCAGATCAATGGTTCACTTGCCCGAAAAGCAATCAAGGATTTGATGGCTCGAGGTTCCATCAGAATGATCTCGGCTCATTCTAGTCAGGAGATATACACCAGAGCGACCAACACCTAAACATAATTGAATTCACTTTGTGCCCGGAAGGGTATATAGATGTGTAGCTGCCTTTGCATTTTGCAGTTCCAAATTTTGTTCAGCGATGAGATTAGATTTTGGTTTGTTAAAATGGCTAGATGATCTTGAAATGTAACGTTTTAATTCGTTTTAGTGTTATTCTCTGCCTTTGAATCCAGGATCCTCATTGAGTCACTTGGTTTTTATAATCGTTATTAGATCAGTTTTAGCTTATTTCTGATCATAATGGTATTGGAAACAAAAACAAGTATGGGATGGTCATTTTAATATTTAATTGCATTGGATTGTTTTAATTTAGAACAAAATTTAAAATTTTAATTAACACCCTCAAATTTAAACACTAATACTAGCTAACCTAATTAATGATACTGAAGTTTGTTTTTTCAAAAAAAATTAAATTTAAAAAAATAGAGGTTGATTTCAATATTAATATAATCATTTAATATCCTAAAATTTTGATTTTATGATATATTCATAAAATATATTATCATAATTTAATTATCTAAAATCACAAATAAAAATGAATTTAACTATCTGAGAAAACACGTCCGGACTGTCTTAAAAATGGCAGGATGACAGTAAATTTATAAAGAAAAGGAGAAAATGTTAGAAAATTTATTTCATTGATAAGCTTTAATCAATTTGAGAGGAAAAAAAAAAAAAAAAAAAAAAAAAAAAAAAAAAAAAAAAAAAAAAAA